TTCTCCCCCCCGCCGTTTGTGGTGGTGGTCCAAGTGGACTGGAGTTCGGAGTGGGACGGCGCAACGCGAGGCTTGCCAGACTTTTGTTCCTTTTTGAATTGCTTGAAGTCCTCCATCCAGTCTTGTGAAGGCCCAACCTCGGGGTGCTCTGGCACTGCAACGAGCTCCGGTACTTCTTCCTTGTACTCCTTTGTGGGCTTGGCGGTATCATCCGACTCCCAGCCATCCGCGTCCTCGTCGAAAAAGTCGGCCCCATCAAATTCATCGTCGTTGATCTCCTGTCCGTCTTTTGTGAGGTTTTTGAAAATCTCGTCGTCCTCGTCGTCTACATAAGCCTCGTCATCCAATGCCTCGAGAACCTCCCTTAATCTAGGGTCCATGTCCGGCTGAAATCCTCGAATCGAATCGGGGACGTCTTGTTGGGCCTGGTAGGTAACCCTGGTGAGATTCTTTGAGGGCAGCATTTCATCGTCAAGTAAGTCGCCCGATTTTTGCTCCAGATCCATTTTCTTCAGCGCATCTTCTAACGATTCCTTTTGTTTCCCCTTGCTCTTGGTGTTCGCCTCGATGAACACGACTTCCCCACTGGACGCCGAGTTGAGATCGCGCAAATGCTGCATATAATCATATTCGGTATCGTCGAAGTAGACTCCGTGGCTAGCAGCCTCGCCTTCGTTGGCTCGAATTGCGGCTGCATCAGAGCCGAATTCTGACGCCAGTTCGTCGAGATGTTTAACTTTTGAGGAACCAGGCTTTGGCTGGGTCGGGTTCAACACCATGGCCGGGGCCTTCTCGTCGTGGATGAGAGGGTCATTTTGCGGTCGATGGACCAGCGTGAAATGCTGGGCCGTCTTCTTGTCACTACATTCGCGGTTAGCAAGTTAGAATCGTTACTAGAATGCCACTGTAGTGTAACGGAGTTCAACGTACATCCACTTTCCTCGAGGCATTTTAGCGATGTGCTATCTTTTTTTCGACGGGATCAAACTCTGACGGCCATACAGGTGGTGGAATGGGGTTCCATAGATTTTGGGTGCCGCAGTCACAAAAAATTTGGACTGTTGTTTTGTACCGTGTGCGATCTGATAACACTGTATGTGAGTCAAATTTTCGCGCACAGCTGCACAGTGCTAGGTTGAATGCCGACCCTATCGCGGAAAATTTGCCCCTCCATTCGTGACGCATTAATCAGCCCGCATTGCGGGCAGTGCAGAAACAAAGCCTGACACCCAAAGTAATCTGCATCCTTCACACCGAGTATCTTTGGTGAGCCGATCCTTCCCCTCAAGTTTGGCTTGTTTCTCAAGCAGGAAGACGATACCGTCAGAATAAACACATCGTCTCTTGAGTCTCTACCTTGGCAGAGCCGCCACCGTCAACATGGTTCTGGCAAAATCCAAGAAGAGCGTGGGGCTTGGCAATGCCTTGATGAATGATCGCTTCGGCAAAGGCAAGGGAGGCGACAGAAAGAAGCAGTCTGCTATCACCAGAACCAATCACGCCACCGGTGAACAGTATCTTGTTAATGAGAAGCAAGATGCCTCCTGGGTCAAGATGCGCTCCGTCACGGAGCAGGGCGCTCTGGATGAATTTCTGGCAACGGCGGAACTGGCGGGAACTGATTTTACTGCCGAGAAGATGAACAATGTCAAAATCATTCATACCGACCAGAAGAACCCTTATCTTCTCTCTGCTAATGAAGAGCGCACTGTACTCGGCAAACACAAGATGCACAGGGGTCGTCTGACCGTCCCCAGAAGACCACACTGGGATTCCACCACCACACCCCAGGAGCTGGATGCCAGAGAAAGAGAGGCCTTTTTAAACTGGAGGAGGGGGCTTGCAGAGCTGGAAGAGAACAACGACTTGCTCATGACACCCTTTGAGCGAAATTTGGAAGTCTGGCGCCAGTTATGGCGAGTTATTGAGCGATCCGACCTCATCGTGCAGATTGTGGATGCTAGAAATCCGTTGCTCTTCCGCTCTGAAGACCTCGAGATCTATGTCAAGGATGTTGATCCGAAGAAGGAGAATCTGCTCTTAATCAACAAGGCAGATATGATGACTCTGCCTCAAAGAAGAGCGTGGGCCAAACACCTGAAGAAAGCCGGCATCGCCTACAAGTTCTTTTCAGCGCAGATGGCGAAGGAACTGAATGAAGCAAGGGACGAAGATAGTGGATCTGAGGGCGAGGTGGACAAGCCATCCTCCCGCAGTGCCGGTAAACAGCCAGCGACAGGCGAGGACTTGTCGGAAGAGGAAAGCGAGGATGATGGCTCTGCTCCAACTGCAGTCGACGAAGATGAGGACACCCAGATTCTTACTGTGGAAGAGTTGGAGGACATATTCCTTCAACATTCTCCCAAAGATGCAGGTGGGCTGCCAAGTACTCCATGGCTATCGAAGAAACGAACTAATCATCACTAGCATCGGATCACAAATTACAAGTAGGATTGGTTGGATACCCCAACGTCGGAAAATCATCCACCATCAACGCTTTAATAGGCGCCAAGAAGGTTTCAGTCTCATCAACACCTGGAAAGACCAAGCATTTCCAGACGATCCACTTGAGCGAGAATGTCATTCTCTGCGATTGCCCCGGTCTCGTGTTCCCCAACTTTGCCTTTACCAAAGCTGATCTTGTCTGCAATGGTGTGTTGCCCATCGACCAAATGAGAGAGTATACCGGCCCCGTGGGGTTGGTCACTCAGCGAATCCCACAGAGATTCTTGGAAGCGATCTACGGCATTCGGATCAAGACGCGCCCCATCGAGGAGGGCGGCAGTGGTATCCCGACTGCAGAAGAACTGCTGCGCGCGTATGCAAGGGCCAGAGGCTTCCAAACTCAAGGCCTAGGTCAGCCCGACGAGGCTAGAGCATCGCGCTACATCCTGAAGGACTACGTCAACGGCAAGCTGCTCTTTGTGCACCCACCGCCTGGAATCGAGGACGCCAAGGCCTTCAACCGAGAGCTGTACAGCGAATTCAACCTCCCTGAGAAGCGACGGGCCGCGCTCGCTGCTGCGACCGAGGCCCTGTCTCTGAAAGACGACGACAGCGTCACAGTTGATTCTGACATGATATCCATCCCCGCGGGCCCCAAGACGGAGAAGCTTGACGCGCGCTTCTTCGGCCCCGACAGGTCCCAAGGACACATCACCATGCCTTTCAACCACAAATACACCGAGCAGGGCCAGGCTTCTGGCAGAATGCTTACTGGAAGAAAGGCCCGAACCGTCGTCGCGTTGGAGAACGGGATAGACCCAAAGGACGTGCAACTATTGAACAGCAAGAAGCACTTCAAGGGCGGAGCAAAGAATGGCAAAAGCAAGAAGCACAGATACATGAACACGGATGACTAAATAGCACTATGGTATTTAAATTAAGCAAAAATATTAACAAGAAAAAAAGCAAGGGTATTGTGGCTGCCCAATCGGCCTTTTCAACTCCGACGCTATGCAAATGATTTTTTCCTCAGCAAACATGGATCCATTTTATGTATTCCTAGCCCCGTCGTATTTCGCGCACCAATCCCCCATTACATCGTCCTTACACCAACGCAACTGATGACAAGGCCAAGTCCTTCTTACGCTCGTCTTCATCCGTCCTTTTTTTCCGCCGAATGGCAAAGGTGGCACTCCGCGAGAAGAACAGCGGCGGCACGGAATGTGTATGCGTCAGGAGCAGCACCACCAACCAGACCAGACAAATCGTCGGCAGCAGCCACGGACTAAAGAGGTATTCCTCCAACGTAAAGTCGTCGACCCGGACGGCGGTAACAAGTGCCAGGCCAACCGCCAGCAGAAAATAGACGGGCGCGGGGCCGGCGGGC